ATATATATATAGATATATATAGATATATATAGATATCTATATATATATAGTATTGTCTTCTATATGTATTTTATTACACACTGAAATGCTTTTACTAATACAAAATGATGTATACAATCTCTATGCAACATATACTTGTGAGTGTTGAGTATGCAGGCACAGAAATGTAAATACACACCTATACATTATAGATGGCAGATCAGCCTCTGGAGTCCATGTATTGTACCTTTCAGGAAGACTCCAAGCTGTCAGGCTGTTGGATGGATGTAGCTGTGCCAGGTAGAAGAGAGCTGTCTTTATATATAAAATGGAGAACAGGCTGCTGAAATGAAAAATGATGGACATGGGGAGGGGGCAGGAAGTTCTTAGAAAGTGGAGCAAGAGGAACGGTCAGGTCACTGTGACAGAGTTAATTCTCCTTGGCCTTTTCTAGCTACAAAAGCCCACCAGTGCTTGGGAAACTGTATGTTCATCCGCATACCTCTAAGAGCAGCGATGATGTGCTCAGTGCAGTTACTCATTGAAACCAGTGATCTCAATGATTGATGGGTAGTTGTCCTAGGTTACTGCCATTTGCCTTGTTGTTACAAAAGAAATACATGGTACCTGCCATATAAACAATGGTTTTGCTCTGTCCAGCATTTGAATCATTGTGAATCAAAGTGGGAGCACGAGGAAGGTGGCACAAACACTGCCACTGCTGCCTATTTCAATAGGCGATTCAATTTAAAGAAGCATGTCCAATCAATATTCAACCAGATTGGTCAAACAGGACAACAGGTATGTGATCATCACCTGATGTGACCAAAAACAGCTAGATTGGGTGACTGTTGTCTCATGTCTATGGAACATATATCATAATATCTGCCATGTTAGTTAATGGTCTGATAAGGGCCTTGTCTGATGGCCTCAAAAATCCCTCAGCCAAAGAAGATGGCTGGCGCACAATGCATATAGGTATAAACACTTTTCTAGCCAGGTCAATCATTTATGTTAGATGATGAAAACAAGCAAAGCCAATGTTTTGAGGATTACAAGCTACAGTCAGGTGATGGGTACAGTTGCACACAATTTGGACAACCTCTTTGGATCTGATCACCAATTATTTAATTTGCAGGGGAGAAAAGAGGAAATGTCCTTTACTGTGCCGGCTTCACATTCACCCATCAGCCAAACTAGAAAGAAGATTGAGCTGGTTAGCACTAGTGGATGACTAAGGATGACCTGACCTTCCAGGTGAGTGGTTTGCTGGTGCATTATGACCAAATGTGTGAGTTCTCTAGTCAGAGCTGGATCATCCACAAGGCAACCTAAAGATGTACTCAAGGTTCAGTGGATGTCCATGGGGCCCAGTTACAACCTTAATGCTCCAGTGGGATAGCACAATTGGTCAGAGCTGTGTCCCTACTTGTCACTTGGGAGGATATACTTGTATGCATTGGTTTCAAATGGGACCATGCCAGTACAAACAATGTAAATGGGCTGGCTTCTCTGTATTTATTGCAATCCTAATCAATGTCAGTGGAAGAGATGGGGAAGAAGAGGAGCAAATCTGCTACCTTGCCTATGGCTCCTCTCTACCTTAATATGTCTGTACTCTAGCAGCCAATCCTCTCTGGTGATCATACAGACGGGCAACATTTCTTATGCATTTAAAAAAAAATGCCAAGCACAAGACACCTGGCCCCATTTACTTTTATAGTGCAGATTTTTATGCTGCATTTAATCTGCTTTGTGTTTTGTTGAACTCAGCTTGTCCTCTTCATATCTATTTCACCAGCTTTCAAAATTGTGCAAATGCGCCACAATGCAAATTAAATGTGGATGTGCAATTTAGGAAACGTGTTGTGTACGGCTGTGCTTGAATGTGCGCTCAGTCTCTAGAGCTCTCCACACACCTTAAAGTGACACTAATTGCATGAGTTAAACCTTAGAAATGCATTCTAACTATGAACAAAAAATGTATCTTATTTGTGTATCATTCGGCTGTAGATCCTCAAATCATCTCTGAATGGGTGCTGACTCTGTCCTTCCTTCTGGAGGGTGGCTACTTTTGTTCCCCATGGTTCCTGTGTGTGTTGTAAAGTAGCCACCGCTCCAAGCTTGCTCCCGGGAAGAACTACAATCTCTTGTTTAGTTTTCCAATTTGTATTGATATTGTAGTCCATCACAGGAGCAAGCTTGGATCGGTGGCTACTTTACAACACACACAGGGACCATGGGGAACAAAAGTAGCCACCCTCCAGAAGGAAGGACAGTGTCAGCACCCATTCAGAGATGATTTGAGGATCTACAGCCGAGTGATACACAAATAAGACACATTGTTGTTAATAATAAAGGTGCTTGTATAGATTTTTAGGTTTAGTGTCACTTTAACTAACAATCTGACTGTACAATCTCTGTACTAAGTGCAAGGAATTGGATGCAAATTGATTGGGTGGTTTAGGTAGGTCCTCATTTTGCATTATTTAAGGAGGTCCCCATATTGCATGGTTTAGGTAGGTCCTCCTATTGTTTAGGAAGGTCCACCTATTGCATGGTTTAGGGAGGTCCTCCTATTGCATGGTTTAGGGAGGTCCTCTTTTTTCATGGTTTAGTTAGGTCCTCATTTTGCATGGTTTAGGGAGGTCCTCATATTGCATAGTTTAGGTAGGTACTCATATTGCATGGTTTAGGGAGGTCTTAATATTGCATGGTTTAGGGAGGTCCTTACATTGCATGGTTTAGGGAGGTCCTCTTTTTTCATGGTTTAGTTAGGTCCTCATTTTTCATGGTTTATGTAGTTCCTCATATTGCATGGTTTTGGTAGGTCTTCATTGTGCATGGTTTAGGGAAGTCCTCATATTGCATGGTTTAGGTAGGTCTTCAATTTGCATGGTTTAGATAGGTCCTCAATTTGCATGGTTTAGATAGGTCCTCAATTTGCATGGTTTAGGTAGGTTCTCATATTGCATGGTTTAGGTAGGTCCTCATGTTACATAGTTTGGGTGACTCTAAAAGAGATTGGACAAAGAATGTAAGGTCAGATTGTAATGTGGTGATCTTAAAATGATCAGATCATATATCATGGCCCTCCTGGCCTTCCTTACCATCTTGTCTTGAATTGTATTGTGATTGTAATGTTTTCCTCATATTGTAAAGCGCTGCGCAAACTGTTGGCGCTATATAAATCCTGTATAATCATAATAATAATAATAATAATAATAATAATAATCTGAAGCCTGGTTGGTTTTTATGGGTTTCTTCAATTTGTCCTACTGAGTATAAAAAATTGGGATGAGTCTATAAGTGCCCCCCATTCACCTGCCCTGTGGAGTCACCACTTCCTGTCCTGCTCTCCTCTCTCTCTCTATCTGCCTTCACACCCCCTGTCTTTCTTATTTTTCTTTCCTGTCCTTTAACCCCCTTGCCTTGGCTCCAGAGCCTCTCCTCCCCTTTCCTCTCTATGCCTTTAACTCCCCTCCCTGTGCTCTCTCCTGGGAATTCCAGCCTCTCTCTCTCTCTCTCTCTCCTGCAGTTTGATTTGCCTCCCTAATTGACCTAAATAAAGCTCCTGACTGACAAGGCACTTCTAGGGCCCCCAGGCACACACTACTAAGCAGAGAAGTGAACTCAGCTCATCCTCCTCTTATCCACAGCAATTCTCCTTCTTTCTCCCCTGAATAATCCAATTTGCTGATCACTCTCGTCCAATAGGGGAAATTCTGCGGAACGGTTAACTTGCTTGACATTTTTATTTGCTTTCTGATTGTCTTTTTATGGCTCTCAGGGAGAGCGGAGCTTGTAGGAGATGACTGTTCAGAGGACGAGCACGATCCTTCAACAGCTGCTGCAGCATCGCTCCCCATAGAAGGCGGCGGCGGCGAGCGCTGGCCTGTGCGCTCTGCATTGACACAAATCGCGCTAAAGCTCTCGTCCTCCAGCAACTGCAGGGAGAGCACAACGCTCATCATCCACCATGCCTGATGACTCCACGGAGAACCAGAGCTCTACCTCAGCTAGGGTATCCTCCTTCTTCATCGAGAATCTCCTGGGCACCGAGGCGAAAGAAGAAAAGAAGCGTGCCAGCGCGGAGGACCGGCTCCCAGTGCAACCAAATGGAGTGCCAGGGAGCCATCTGAGCTCTGTATGCTGCCACCTCTCCCCCTACAACTACAACACCCAGCATGGCACCTTCCCACTGCGAGAGAACACCATGGAGTGGTACAGGAGAGCCCAGGCCACCTACGTAGGGTGTACCAGCCCGGAAAGTAAGTGCCAGCACTTGGACTCAATATTGTCATTAGTATTTATTAGAGCTCATCGACCTGCTCCATGCATGAATCTTTTATGTTTCCTTCCGACTTCCTCTCAGCAAAATAGGTCCGGAGCATCGACTGTGACTGCTGGGAGTCCCTAATATAGAGTGCTTCCATGAGATGGTGGGATATGTCAGGGTAGATTATATATCAGGGTATATTTTATGTAACATCAGACCCCTTGTTTTCATTTTTATTACTATTATTATTATTAGTAGTAGTAGTAGTAGTAGTAGTAGTAGTAGTAGTAGTATAATTATTGTTAGCAGTAGTAGTATTGTTATTATTATTATTATTATTACTATTATGATTATTATTATCAGTAGAATTATTGTTAACAGTAGTAGTGCTGTTGTTATTATGATGATGATGATGATGATGATTATTATTATTATTAGTAGTAGTAGTAGTAGTAGTAGTAGGAGTAGTAGGAGTAGTGTTATTTTGTATTATATTATTTAGAAACATTGTCACATGTGTCATAGTATATATGTGTTGTATATATATGTATTCTTATTTGAAGGGCGCTGGACATAATTAAGCACCTTTATTTATATATTAACAATGTTGTTGTTGTTGCTGTTGTAATGTATTATTATGCCTTTCATGTTAATACTGTTAATATTAGGAAGACTAGCCTATTAGCTGTTTTTTTTTCTTGTACTGAAAGAAAAAATGTCTCCTCATGTTAACTTTCAATAAAGCAGAATTGAGATTACTGTTTTTTTCTATAGTCCCAGTTAATTATTGCCATATCAAATTGATAAAACTAGCAGACCTGGCTGTTAAATTAATAAGAATTGTACAGAATAAATATTAATAACGTTTTAGTTTGGCTAGGGGTTTACGTTATAGAAACAAAAAACATGTCCAATGCCCTTTGTATAAACATACATATAATATTATGATAAACTGTAAAAGTATATTAACAACAAAAATAAAAATAAGGATAATATGTCTAATAATACTGCTACTACTACCACTATTACTACTACTACTACTACTACTACTACTACTACTACTACTACTACTACAATAAAAGTAGTAGTAATAAAAATAATAATGATAATAATAATAATACAACAACAACAATACAATATTAACAATAGCCACCAGTAGCTTGCCATGAAATGTAGCCCCTCCATACATGAAGCTATGCAGTACCATGTGCCCTTAGCAGTTCCAGGCTCCAGTATGTAGAATTATTAGCCCTCTCTTATGATAGAGAGTCAGCTCCATGCCCCAGTCTATAAGCCCACAAAGTCTTCTTCCCATGAATGGCTCATACAGGGAGAGCTCACATACACATTCATCCTGCAAACCATTGTCTGTGCAACAAGCAGTGAAATCTTCGGAGTGCAATGAACATTGATTGTGTCTGGAAAGGTCTCATTCTCACAGTAACTGCTAATAAACAGATACATATTACCGGCGGATCTCCCTGTAAGTAGCCTTAAAGGACTCTAATCGGATTGACTTTTGATCCCAGAGTCGATCATTTTACATTGCTGAATTCTTGCGCGGGCGGCCACAATAGATCGGAGGCAATAAGAGCTGTATATTATAAAGGCCTCTTATAGAGTAACAAAAATCACAATACATATCTAGAACTATGCAGAAAATACCCTTCTAACCGATTCATTGAAATAATAAGGTCGCTATAAAATGAGGACGTTTTATGCCAAATGTATATGGGAAAAATCGTCCAAAGTCAGCTCATTTGTAATTTTCTTATCAATAAGACATTTTTTTTTATTAATTGCTACTTCCAATTTACACATATATGTACAACTATCATACAAAGTAACAATAGAAAAGTACAGGAAAATTATTATAAATCGCACAGGGGCTATTTTATAAACAGCAACCGATACCATTGCTAAATAAAATATGTCATGCAGTAACCAAACAATGACACATTTATACTTCGATTATTTATTTAAAATGTTGTCCCCAAAATAACCAGCGTGCTGATTGGCTTCCTAAGAGATCACATAATCTGGATACAATTTAAAGACCCTGTAGGTATAAGCCCCGCCCATTCTCTTTACCTATCACCACTCATTCACATATGCCAGACTGAATCAAACTGGTGATTATTTTTTTTAATCAGCCCTTAATAATTAAAATGAAGTATTTTGTTGAGACCAGGGTTAATTCACTATGAGAGTAAAAAAAAAAAAATCGAGCAACCTGCGTGTGAATTTTCTGTGCTACTTTCTGCTTTCAGAATTATGAAAAAATGTCATTAGAAATTTAAAAGATGATATGCTGTGCATGGTGGGTATGAAATACAGAAAGAGTCATAGTTTTAGCTAGCCTAGTTAAAATAACCATGCAGGGTAAGATGGAGGGATCTCTTATCAGATTGGGTGCAAGCCTAGGGCAACATTTCTCAATACATTTTAGAAGAGGCTTTCTGGGACTTCTAATCCCATCACGTCTTAATTGTAGCTAGGGTAACATATAAAGCGAGCAAGCAGTCTCTTCTTGCAGTCCCTGAGAAATGTAAAGAAGGGATTTGATTGGTGGATGTATCTGCTCCATTTCTCTGCTGGGGGTCTCATGGCTTTTTATGTTACACTTTTTTGTATTATAAAGTTCCTTCTCGCCTGTTACACCTGTCTGCAGAAGCATTTGTAACTGTCCTGTGTTATAATGTGATCATGAGGATCTCAGAGTAATAGATCCAATTATCCTAGAAGAGAGGGCTGTGCATGCATGCTGCGCTGTTATTGGCTAAATATACACTCTTTTGGAAGGTGAGAAAATCATTTTCAGTTTTGACTTTCCCACAGTCACATGAACGGAGATGAATTCTGATTTCCAGGGTTTCTAGGTTTCTGCACTTTGCAAGTTGGTTCTGCTCACATTAAAGGGGAACTCTGTCTTGCATTTGCACTTACTTGCACTTGCTTTTACATGCTTCCCATAACGCAAAACATCCTTTTTTGAATGTATAGAATAGTATGAGCTTCCCAAGCCTCTAACAGTCCTACATATGTGGAAAGATTAACAAAAAAAATAGAAACTGTGCATAGCCATTCCTATTCAGGACTGCTCAGCTGTTAGGGGAGAGATGACTGCCACTGACCCCCAATGACTCTCAATCTGAGACAGACAACAAATTGTGTTCGATGCCAGGTTTAGGAGTTTATATAATTTGCTGGATAACAGCTCCCCAGTCTATGTAACTGAAACACAATTGCTACTAGGGGTTTTTATTATTATTATTATTATTATGATTATGATTATACAGGTTTTATATAGTGCCAACAGTTTGTGCAGCGCTTTGCAATATAAGGAAGACATTACAATCACAATAAAATTCAAGACAAGATGGTAAGGAGGGCCCTGCCCCTGAGGGCTGGGTTCAATAATTGTGAAATTAAAAGGGCCAGGAACGTTAAAAAAAATGGGTAGTATAAAATGCTTATGATAACAACAATAATGTGTATGTAGAATCCCAAAACTCTCAGAGGTTTATTAGACTGATGGAAATGATTTACTATGAAAGTTCAGTAACTAAGATGAAGTTGTGTTCACTTCAAGCATCCACTCACGTGCTAGCTTTTTTTTAATCCCCCTATGATTGGGTATTAAAAGTGAGTACAAGTTTACCTTATTTACTATCATTCATTGGAAAGTGGAAAGCCTCTAATTATTTATTAAATGAACTGAAATTTGTTGTCCTGGACAGCATGTACTGCTGTAGTGACATCCATTTGGGCTTATGGAGAATTTATAGGGGTTGATTTGCATAATGAGTAGTGACTGTTCACTTAGCAAAGTGAATGTTAACATATAACAGTGAATGTTTACTGGCATAATAAATAGGGTAAGGCTTTGTTAAGTTGAGCCAGGGAATCATGTAATAGCGAAAATCCTGCTTGCTAATTTCCTTTGCATATCATTGTGTATTTTATGTGATCACAGCTCAACCATATTTACTAAACCCAAAGAACATTCACTTTGCTAAGTGAATAGCCGCTACTCCATTCGTAAGTCAATTGTGGCCATTGACAGTCTATGCAATAACTGGTCAGGATGGCATATGAGTAGAAATATCTTCACCTATGTTTCACTTGTTTTTAAATTTAAAAAAATGTATTAAATTATATCCAATATATTTAATAATATATCCTCAAAAACTATAGAAACCAGTTTGTAATTTCTGTTTAGTGGATCAACATTCATGATTGTAGAGTTTCTTGAATATTTCTCACCTACCTCCTCTCTCTCATACAGCAAGTGACAGAGATTCTCCAGAGATCTCAGAAGGTGCAGAGAGACACTACAGTAGAGGATACAGGAAACACAGCAGTGATGCCTCTGAAGACAAGAGAGAGGACTTCCCCTGCAAGGAGGAGGAGAAAGCTGAGCAGGACTCAGAGCAGAGGTCATCCCGCAAGAAGAAGACCCGCACTGTGTTCAGCAGAAGCCAGGTCTTTCAACTGGAGTCCACCTTTGACATGAAGAGGTACTTGAGCAGCTCTGAACGAGCCGGTCTGGCGGCCTCCCTCCATCTCACAGAGACACAAGTGAAAATCTGGTTTCAGAACCGCAGGAACAAATGGAAAAGGCAGCTGGCCGCCGACTTGGAGGCTGCCAATATCTCCCACACCACCCAAAGGATAGTCAGGGTGCCCATACTGTACCATGAGAACTCTCCTGCCACTTCCTTGGGTTTCAGCTTGCCACACATCTCCCCTCCCTTGGTAGGCTTCTCCAGTTCTGTCAACTATCCCCTGGCCACCTTCCCAAACTCAGTACCCTTTATAAGATCACAGATGACCGGACTGGTCTGAGAACTTTGCATCCCTGATGGGACTTTTTCTTTGCCTACCTGTTTTGTATGAACTGCATATCGCTACTTACAGCCTACTTGATTTTCTTGCATTTCAACTGAAAACGTGCAATAGCTTTGACTTGGGAATCACTGCAAACAGTACAACATGATGGCGCAAATAAACCTTTCTTTTTGTACTTCCAAAGAAATTCTTGTAGGTTTTTATTATTTTGCTTTTTGTTTTTTAGCTAAGATATTGGTTGAGTTTAGAAAGCCTGGGGTAACAGATTTTGGTCAAAGCATTAGTTCTACCACCACTTGGTACTTGTGGTGGGTTCAGGGGTTCTTCTGGTGGGTTCAAAGTCATCAGAATAGCTTATTAATATTAATAATAATAACAATAATAATACTAATCTATGAACAATGCACATGCCAGTAAGTTATTTTTGTTATGCAAAGAGAACTATGGCCAAACCTTTTTTGGTGTTAATTCTTTATTGGATCACAAGAGGACAATTACTAATGTACTCCTGTGAACCAAAGCTCAAGAAACAGCAGGCTATTGCCCGCTATATGCTGACAGCACAGAGCTGCACGGCAGCCAGGAAAGATCCCAACTGCTGGCTTTGCCTCTCTAGAACCAAAGCCAGCTGTGCCAGCCGCCTCCCTTGTCTGTCCCTCCAGTCACCCCTCTCTGCAGGGAGAAGATTGTGAACCAAGTGATCAGCAGTTTGTGATCGCTCAGTTTACAATCTATAGAGCCAACGTGTGACAGCTGCAGTGTCACACGCCAGCTTTAACTATGGGGATTCATTCATTTCACTCTCCCCATAGTTGTCCTTTAGAGGAATAGTGAGGTTGATTAACCTCCCTGGCGGTATGATTATGTCAGGATTTTTGTACCAAAAGCGGTACAATTTTTTGCATGGAAATTTGGTTTTATGTTTTGTAGGCCTGCAATTCTTAGTAAATCTTAGGAATAACTCACCTAAATCTGTCCAAACAAGAGTCCAGTAGATAAATGAGTGGAGACTGTTTGTGTTGCCATAGTGCATGTTGACTTAGCTTAGCACCTTAACCTCCCTGGCGGTATGATTATGCAGGATTTTATCATGCCAAAGCGGTAGAATAGAGTACCAAGTTTGCACCACTGAGCTTGGTCGCAGAATCGTCGCTTTCATCACTTTCAGTGTCTGATGACGAATTTCCCAAAGAATCGCTATCACTCAATTCTGCAAGTGATTCTAATTTACTATCGCTGTTTTCTACCTGGTCTAAAATAGCTTTTTACCTAAAGGGACGCTTTTTGGATGCCATGGACGTTCTCAAGTTTCCAGGCAGAAAGAACAGTAAAAGTGCAGGCAGGGCACTGGACAAAGCTCTAGGGACAAA